AAGCAGTTCGATCTCGATACTGCTATCTTGCGTTTCAACGAGTTTTCTACGATTTTTGGTTCTCGAGATCATAGAGTCACAAAACGACAGAAAAGATGCGTACGGTCAAGTAAAAAAGAAAAAAAAAAAACTCGCGACGCGGACTACAGAAATGCTTCTGCTTCGCATCGCATTAAAAAACTCGCGACGGACTACATAAATGCTTCTGCTTCGCATCGCAATAATAAACGTTTGTAATGAATCTTAAAGTGAATCATTTATTTTTAAATCTTATTCTCGCTACTTTCGAAAATTCGGCTCGTGTGCTTCGCACCGCATTTCGTAGCCGAGTGAAACTCGAATACCATCTAGTTTTCTTCTGAGGCTCTACTTTCATTATGTATGTCTGACATTTATTTCTGTCAAGTTTGATGTCGGTTTGCATTACATGGTTGAAGAAACAAAGACTATTTTTTCGCTTCTTTTCCTGATACAAAGAAACTCTTGATTAATTTCCACTGTTTTATATTCAATTCGATTTTTTTTTGATGTATTACGAACGGTCCAAAAGTAGTATTGTCAATACTTTATTTCCGTATAGAAAGCTTGAAGCAATTTTCTTTTTGTGTACTCAAAAAATGAGTACACTCTAGAATCGACCAGTGTGTCCGCCCGGCCGACCGTAGGCACGATAACTTTCGAAAGGAGAGTCAGATCGTGGTGAAATTTTCCACACAGTTCAATCTCATGAATATCTCGGCCGAGTTCGAAGATGAGAAGGATCTCTCAAGAAATGGTTGAGTTATCGAAAAAATTGTCATTTTTGATCAGACCATCCCTGAGGAGGAGTACATGGATTTCTCTCAAAAAACAAATTTTTCCCAGGATTATTCACAATATATATAAATCGACTCAGTTTTTAACGCTGATTCCGAATCTGATATTAGTTTCGAACTAAATCGTAGCTTTCTAACGAAACATCGCCTGGAAAACGTCTCAAAATGCACAAAAACTGCATCCAGAAATCAAATTGCCTAGTTCCTTATGATAAGTTTGGTGTTCAGACATTCTAGAATGAGTCATATGTCCCATGCACTTTTTGCAGTACACATAACTCTCGGACGAAATCTGAAGTTGCCACATTTATTTTAATTTGATGTAACTTGTGGGATGTGGGTGCTTAATCTCCTTTACACCCACACCCACACCCTCAAGTTGATTTCGATTAATTTCAAACAAATAGCAAATGTGCTCGTTTCTCGATTGTAGTTGACTTGCACTGAAATGTTTAACAACACTTGAATTCATGATTCACCCAACATGTTTTCATTGATATTGTTGTTCTATGTTACAAGCAGCTTTTATTGACATAACGATATGGTTTGTAACGACATATTATCAATTTTCGTCATTTTCATTTTATCATCATACACATGGCGTCTTTACAAACACGAAAATTATGCTCCACTGCTGGCTCCTGTAAACAAACCGCTGCCACGAATTGTGAGGGTTGCTTACAATCTTTTTGTACTAAACATTTCATTGATCATCGCAATGCACTCAGCGAAGAAATGAACGATATCATTAGTGAATATAATTGTCTTAAAAGTACATTTGATCAATCAGCAGAACCTGATTCACATCCATTTTTCAAAGATATTGATCAATGGAAAGAAGATTCCATTACGAAAATTCAACAAAAAGCACAAGAATTACGCATCGAGCTATTTCAACTAATAGCAATACGTAAAGCTGAAATTCTGGAGAAACTTCAACAAGCATGTGAAGAAATCAAAAATAGTCAAGAAATTGATAATTTCATAGAGTTAGATCTTCTACAATGGAAAACTACTCTACAAAATCTAAAAGCAAAATGTGATCCAACGTTAGCGTTTTCATTGGAGCCACGTGATGATTTACCAGTAGTGCACAATGTTTCTGTCATATTTACATTAGATAACGAACTATTTGGACAAGTATTTGACAATGCCGTGCAAATACAACAAAATGGAGAAATAGCAATTCATGATGCGTCACATAATTACACGGAAATTCGAGGAAAAAATGAATATACCACAGGTCGTCATCGAATTCGTTTATGCATTGATCAATCTGCTGATAGTTGGACATTTCTAGGTATTAACTCAAAATCAACACTTTTACAAAAACAATCCAGTAGCTCAAAATCAGCCTATGGATGGACCAATAATAACTATATTTGGTCAAATGGAGGATGTCAGCCAAACAAATCTGCTGCTCGTATTGAGATGAAAATGAATGATATGATTACTTTAACTTTTGATTGTAACCATCGTAAAATTTCGATGATCAATGAGCGAACACAGGCAAACTATGAATTGCTTGTCAACATTGATCATTGTCCATTTCCTTGGCAATTTCATGTTAATCTGTATGAAGCCAACAGTCGTATACGCATTTTATCAACTTAATTACGATGAACAAGATCGTGTGTACGTTGCACTTCTGTTAAATGACTTCATTGTACGGGTCAAATATATCGAAATTTTATTTGCATTTTGAAAAAGATTACCATTTCGATGAAGCTTATCGATAGATAATGAGTTGTTTTTTTTGTAAAAAATATCATAATATGAAATCATCCGGAACAAAATACATTACTAAGTTTGTTTCTGATTAAAGAATTGCATTGTACGTTGAATGATTTTCTAATACTGTTTAATGTTGTTGAATCACTTTTCGTAACAGTTAAACAAGTTTGCCTCGGTATCTCTCGGATTGAATCCATCTGAATAACATAATATGTTCAGCTTAACATAAAGAGTAAATTATTAGAGTTAGAATCTTTCAGTTAGATTTTGATAGTTATCATATATAGTTTTTTAAGATCTTTCTTCTGGATCACTATTTGTGATTAATTTTTATACATGTGTAAAATAATTGCATATTTCTTACCTTTTCGATAACTTAATACTTCAAAATTGATGCAAAAGTAGAAATAGATTCAATCAAAATGAAATCTTCTGGATCACCATGCTATTAATCAATAACAGAGTGGAGCGAAGCAGAGTAGCTGTCCAATTCGAGTTCGAATATAAATGGAGAAAAGAAGAAGTTAAACTAAAACGAAATCTAGGAATAGATTTAGTTTTAGTTTAACTTTTCGATATATGCGACATATGAATACATATATACCCCTCACCCACACCCCACCCACAGTTACCCATTAGTCCCCTTCAACCTGCACCCACTCCATCTTAAACTAAATATAAAACTAAATCTATTTCTATCACTTATTTTCGAATTGATACCATATAGTTGGATGTCCATTAATATTCGAATTCGAACTAGGCATCTCATGAGTAATTTGGTGAAAACCTACGATTTCAATAACACTATTCAGTTATCAAAACCATTCGCAATATTCTTATAGATGAATCATGCACTATGTGCTTTTTTCGTTCCTCACCCAAGCGACTTGAACTTACTGCGTATTTTATTACTACATCTACCAACATTTTCATCATTCTTTGTGTCTTTACATTCTTCATTGCAGCAAGCACATGGCGTCTCACGCAACACGAAAACACTGTGCAAGCAGAGATGCTTGTAAGCAAACAGCAACCGCTATTTGTGAAGGTTGCTCTCAAGCTTTCTGTACTAAACATTTTAACGCCCATCGCCTGTTTTTGGGTGACGAAATTGATGCAGTCATAAGTGAATATGATCAGGCTCATCATATATTCAAGGAACAAAAAACTAACATCGACTCGCATCCATTAATGAAACAAATTAGTGACTGGGAAAAAGAATCAATCGTCAAAATTCAACAAAAGGCACGAGAACTCCGACAAGAGCTAATCCAGAAGAACACAATTCATCTGGGAAAACTTTCTAAAACGCTTCAGGATCTATCGGATCAGCTAAAGTTAGGCCGGGAACATGATAGCTTTGTTGAAGTTGATATTGGTAATTGGAAAAAATCACTCAACGACTTAAAAGAAAATCTAGCTCTTAATTCAATATTGCGAATCAATCAAGACTGTGGAACTCCACTAGTACAGAATGTTTCGGTCAATTCAATCGAAAACGACGAAGTATTTGATAGAGTATTTGATAATTCAGCACGAATTGAAGAAAATGGATTAGCCGTCATTCATACAAACAATGTAGGTTACACAGACGTTCGTGGAAGAAATGAATATTCGACTGGTTGTCATCGAATTTGTTTATCTATCCAACAATCTTCTGATACATGGTTATTTCTAGGAATAAAAGCTAAATCAAGACCTCTGCAAGAAATATCCTACAGCTCTAAATCAACTTATGGGTGGTCAAGTAACAATTACTCTTGGTTAAATGGACAGGCTAAAGCAAATCAACTTTCTGCTCGTATTGAAATGAAAACAAACGATACTATTATTTTAATCTTTGACTGTGATAATAGGAAAATTTCGATGACTAATGAGCGAACAGCTGTAAAATTCGATTTAGTTGTGGATCTTAATGATTGTCCATTTCCTTGGCAACTTCACGTCATTCTGCATGAAGCAAATAGTCATGTACGCATTTTGTCATAATATAATTATATATCATAGTGAATCATTCAAGTTTTGATGCCCTCCGAATCTGGGTGTGGGTGTGAATGATATCTAGGTTTATATCCACACATTGACATCCAACATTTGATACAAAAGACTTATTTCAAAGCAGAAAACATGAACAGAATATATTTTTCTTCATAAGAAAAGAAGATGATGTAGAGAACATTTTGAATGGTCTATGGGTCATATTAAATTCTATAATTTGTTGATTCTGAGATTATCTACAATCAAAGTTTTTTAAAGATCTCTGGAATATATTAAAGTATCATGCAAATAATAGAGGTCCGGCATATTCAAAAGCAAATATCGTATATGTATGACTATCCACACGTTCATACCCTTCAACATGAAGAAAGAAAAAAATTTCTTCATTGCCATTTGTTACTAATTTTTCGCTAATCTCAAACGATGCAATAATCGACTTTGAATTGCAATGTTTTCGAATTTCAGCCGTGATACTTGAAGGCATTTTTATTCAAAAGAAAGCAAAACATATTTTCTAATTGTATACGTGCTCATATGTAAAATGAAATCATATCGTTATTACCTAAATATTTACTAAAAAGAAAGAGAAATTTAAATAAATCATGTTTATTGATTTTAATATTTTTATCTCTTTAACACTGTTGCATATCCGTTTTTTAATATTCATAAATTCATGAACTTTGACTGATTAGCTATATTGTATCGGAAGAAAGAATTTTGATAAAACCGTCACACTTCGTCTAAAGTTTAAAAAAATAAGTGAGCAAAATACTGTGATTCTAACTATGAGATCATTGAATAAATTCTAATTTTAGTTTCTGATGTTGAAAATAACCACAACAATTCTTATTTTTATTTATTTCTCGTTCTATTCCTGTAGAATATCAGGTAAGAACAATGATAAAATAATGTTCAGTTTCTATTAAATTTAAAAACGATTTTACTTTTTCTCAGTATTTCTACTACATGATCTGGTTCTTCTTTCATTTTTCTATCAAAATTCTGCAGTGAATCAAACCAAAATGAGTACACATCTGGTATTCATTTTATCAGTGAGAATCTGTCGTTGCCGCGAAAAGTTGGGAAGAAAATGACTAACACGAAGCGCCATTAGAAAACTATAGCATCATAGGAAAATTTTAGATGTAAAGTATCTACATGAATGAAATGAGTTCGACGTAGTAGACTTCGAATATCAAGAGGGGAAAATTCGGATTTGGGGATTTTCAAAATTCTCCTTTTCCCCCTTGTCGAATATGGTCATTTATTGCTCTTACTTCCTCTAATTTGACATGATTCTATTTGAAAAATTATGATTTCACTGTTGGATCATGTTACCATGCATGAGGGTTTATGAATTTATATGGAAATTCATCTCGAATGATATAATCACATATTTGTTAGATTGCATGTTATGTTATTGACTAAGAAAAATATCATAAAGATCATCTAATATAGCTGAATGTCTGTGTATGAAAGAGATGACAGTGTTTTTCTCAAATAATATATCAAACTATAGAAGAATTTTTGGATTGAGAAAACTAAATAAGATTCTATCCATTCTGCCACGAGCAAGCTTTTCGCATGGATTGTTTACCTCAGAATATTCAAATTTATTGAAAATGTGCCGTGGTGAACCGAGAAAAATATATATATTTGTTTCAAAAAGAATTCTGAAGTAAATCAATGTCACTGTGAATTCTTTCTGATCATGAATATTCTATTTAATCATCCTTGTTTGATATATATCGACTGAATAAAGGTGATTCAAAAGAAACAATACTTTTAGTATCATTAATTAAATGGAGCAATAATACATTTTATTGTTGTTTCATGCCTAAAAGCTAAAGATTTTTCAAACAATGAATAGATTAACTTGTATTATGAGAACATATTATCTTTATGTATATAAATAATAAAAGTATAATCCAATTAATATCTTCACTAGATCGGTGCACGATAAGAATGCTTTGTACTCTTTCTCAAACTCCACCCTACATAAGTCTAACCTTGACATCAACTGATAGGTTTTCAAATTGTTTTTAAAACTTTCTGGAAGAGAAAAATTTTAAGTTACTTTTAAATTTTTGTCGCAAAGTTTCACATTGAACGATCGAATGACCGATGGCAACATGGTGTTATTCTTAAAATAATGAAAAACAATTTGAAGATACAAGCTTTGCAAAGATAGATATGATTTTAAAGTCATTCACTATAGTCCCGATAAGATCAATACCAGCAACATCTATATGTATTGTTAAAGAATGTTAAGATTATATTTTAGATGTGCTTTAGTAGTAGTATCTTATTGAAACGGTTCTAATTGCAGGTAAACCATCGGTACAGTACTTTTCATCACCTAACTGTTCTAATCCAAATTATATTGGAACGTTTTGTAACATTTCAAAAATATCATGTGATGCTCATAAACCATGTCAAACTCCGCGGATTTGTATCAATGATCCTACAGTTCCTGGTGGATACTACTGCCAACTTGAAAATAACTTCACAGATACCAATAATACAGTCAACAGTGGATCTTGCAAATTGAATTCATGTTTATATAATGGTATATAAACCAATTCACCTATTTCTGTTACAGATTACATACAAAATGGGTTTTTGTTGTTTTTTATAGGCATTTGTGTATCACTGAATAATACACGTTTTTACTGTAATTGCACGCCAGAACGTACTGGTCATCGTTGTGAACATTTAATCAACTATTGTCATAATGTCGCATGCTTGAACAACGGAGTTTGCCGAACATTAAATCTGGATTATCAATGTGAATGTCCACCTGGTAGCTATTCGGGTCGCCACTGTGAATATCCATCACGCAGCAATAGAATTCGTCAATTTCTTACAAAATTATTTATATACCTTGCCATTATAATTGTTTCAATCGTTATAATTTTTATACTTGTGATTAATATACTCAAATGTGCCTGTGGTATCGATCCATGCCGAATACAACGTGAATGGATTCAAGTAAAATTTGCTCGGTTCAAACAAAAGAATCATAAAAAGACTCAACAACATCCAAGTGCAAATCATTTTCAACCTACAAATACAGTAACACCTGAGTAAACGGAACCTGATCTTTACGATAGCACTAATAATATACATTGCTATTCAAGTGTTTTTGCGGACTTTTTATCTATAAAAACTAAAATATGTAAAACATTAATTATTTGTATCACAAAATGCATTATTTTTTAAATATATTTATCGATCCTAACTCATTCTCACACTAAATGATGTTGCTCTTATGATTTTCTTTTAGTTATTCATATACAATTTGAAATATAGATTATTAAACTTGAAGAGATAAGATAACATCTTTAAACGAAAGTAACAGGTGTTCCATAATGAATGGTCAACTCAGTGTTTTCTGAATAGCTCCTTCATCTTTTATTCTCTAGGCTTAAATTCCCCCACAAAGATCCGCCATTCAATTCTCTACAAGACTTGTATTACAAGCTTTTCTGCCGACAGGTAAGTGAATTTTTTTTAAAAAGGAACACTAAACACGCATGAAAAGATCGACTTTCCAAGTCATGTTTTTAAATAAACTTCAGAATATTTTTCACGATTGCACACAAAATGAAACCAAAGTGAAGATGTTTCTGAGTACTTTGAAGTGTGCTCTTTCTCTACACGTAGCTCAGAATCCGTTAAAATGGCTAAAATACAATATTTGTCGCCACCTGAATTGAATAAAATAATTAAAGGTGACGTTTCCTCTCCGAATCTGATATTAGTAGTCATTTTCCATCAAAATGAAAAATAACTCTAACCCAAACGATGCTATTTTGGCTTAGTTATGCCTCCTTTTTCAGGAGTACCGAAACCGTTGTTTGAAAAAGCTAAATTCTCGAAACTTTGAAAGAAAATATGCACGTAGTATCCCGTAAGGATGAGCGCTGAATTTTTCCAATTATGATCTATCAATCGAGCTTTTCAAGGGCTACAAAATTACTATATTGTTTATTTTGTGTTTCGTCAGTGGCTAACGAAAAACTCTGAAAAAACTATTTTTCAACTTTGAGAGTTGGTTTTTTTGTAAGGGTTGAATATTCCCTTATAAGAATTTTTCTCTTAACTTTCGGCAGAAAAACTTATAATACGAATCTAGTAGAGAATTGAATGGCGGATCTTCGGGGGAAAATCAATCGAAGAATACACATTCACTGGCGACTGAAAAAACATTTTCAAGTAAAATGTCGATGCACAAAACAAATTTCCTCTCAGCAGTTATTTTAAAACTTTTTTTAAAATTTACGGAAAAGTGTTTTTAAAACTAAAATTAATTTTGTCCTATTGATGTGTCACTGCAATTTCACACAAAAAAAGATCCTTCACTATAGGGTGTGAGTAAATTACTTACACTTCAAAATGTAACAATTTCTTCTCATTCATAAAATTCATTTATATATAAAAATAATTTTTTTCTGATGCTGGTATTCTCTGAGCTTTCCTGGTTATGTCCGAGATCTCTTAGTAATTAATAAACTACGGATGCCTGGAAGAATGGGACCACCCTCATCTCTTTAGATAAAATCACGCCAACAATTGTGTTGAATAAATTAAATTTATAAGAATTTCAGTATCTATTGAATTCTGCTAATGGTTTTGTAGTAATTAACACAATTTCAGTTATTTTTTATCAACGTTCGTTTAGAAAAAAAAATTCAAAAGAATATTTGACCTTCTATGTTATATTTTAATGCCGTTTAACTGCTCTTAGAATCGAATCAAATCATACATAAGCATTGTTCGACTCTTTCTATCAGTTGGTGGACAATGAATGTCAGCGATGAATTGAAAAATGGTTAAAATGAAACAATTGTGAGTACGTATTTAAAAAAAATATATCACTGAGTAACATTGTATCATCATTGAAAACTTTTGCAAAGGAGAAATTGCAAACATTGATCAGACGATTAGTACCAACAGCAAGGTCAAACTTCCATTTAGCTATATATGATAATCTATTGCAGAAGTCAGAGTATTTTACATACATCACTACTGCCAAGAAATAAATAGATAACAGAAGAAGATTTATAAGATGACATGTCAATATATATAGAGAGAGATATTAGTTTAGTATTATCCATAAGATAAATAAATGTAGAACAACTTTCGAATTAATATTATAGAATAATATATCGATATTGCCGAAAGTCATTTTCAAGGCATCTAGCGTCTCCCGTAATTGCTTAGTTGCAAGAATATTGTTGAAACTACACAAACACAAAGGTTAGACGATAATTCCTCTTCTTTTTTTTGTTGTCTTAATTAGCAAGTAACTTAATAAATTTGAAATTTGTGCATCACAAAAAATATTTAGTCACTAAATTATGTATTGTAATAAGTTCGCGTCGAGCATAGTGAACTTTCACTTTTGAAATACACAAATCAATACTTCACATGTGTGGAATGCCTGAGATATCTTGTCAGTATCATATTACTAGCGATAACAAAATTAATAAAAAAAAAGACTCGAGAATTAGGTTATCAATTGAAGGTACACAAGCGACATCTACATCACACAGATTTCTTTTATATATATAATATCTCAAAGAAAACTAGTGTATTATTAATTGTCTCTTGGATATGCCATATGAAAATAAAACTATTTTAATCACCATGCAATACTTTCAATCATTGGAAAGCCTTATCAATTGATTCTAATTGGTCAAGAATGAAAGATGAAAACTCCAGATACATTATATACGTTGACAACCAAAATCGGTGTCGTTTAAACTATTGAGTCAGGTTTCTTTTCCCTATAATTTTTTTCTCGGTAACTGCCATTTGACGAGTACAATCGATTCTTCAATTGTATTTAAAAAAAATGAAGCATAATGCATTATCATTAGAAGAATATTGTATTTTTTTTATTATTATTCTAGATGTCTTGGCACCAACGCCATGACTCTACACTGGACACGACATCGTAGCGCTGAAAACGCAGACGACGAAATTAGCGTTGAACTAGCGGTTAGTCTTGTTTTACTACATTGCTTGATATATTGTCCTTGATTTCTTTCCTATCAAAATATATAAGAACTTTATCGGAACTCTTATTAACTACGTAGATGACAAAAACAGAATCGTTGTCCAATAAAGAAAAGGAAAAAGCGATGACAAATGGCTTCGCTCGTTTTCTTCTTGTCATCGACAGATATATATCAAGCTTATGATTTTATTTTTTATTATCATCATTCGTTTTGATCGACATATGCGGATCATTAAACAGATACAGAAAGAATTCTGCTGATAATGATTAAACACTTTATATTGAATCAGTTGAATTATTATTCTAACCGACAATAATGAGTGTTGTTAACGAGGTGGAAAATATTTGTCTATACGCCAATGTATATATCAGCATTTGATTAGTTTATGTTCTTTTTGTAAATAGGTTCTTCGACAACATTGGAAACAAATCTTACAAATCTTTCAAAAAGCATTAATCGATCAAGATGATATCAGTTGTGTTTTATCTCATTTTCAACATGCAGTCACATTACTTACCGATGAAGTGGCTAGTCAGGATCGACCCGGTCCTATACTCCTATATTTTGTTAGCGAAGCTATTCTCGATACTTTCTTTGTTTGGTCATTAAGTTGTCCTGAATATGCGTCTGAATTAAAATATCATCAACTACGTTGCTTCGAATTTCTCCTTAGTCGATCACAAAATGAACTTCTTTTCTATAAACAAATTGTAAAAGCAAAAGTTGTTTTTTATTTTATTTATTCGATCATCTATTCTAGTTTAAACCATTGCTCAATCTTCTTCGATCATGTGAATCTTCACTATCACTAGATCTTATTGAAAAACATATGATTGTTGTGCTCAATCAAGTAAGTTTCTTTGTCTGATAAAACTAGACATAAATACTGTTAAATATTTTTTTCTTCTTCAGGTATGCGTTAGTATAACAAAAAGTCCTGAATTATTGGAATTTTGCTTTGATATCAGTGCTGAACATGGCCCATCTAGATTTGTGATATTTTCACTATTGATTCCATTTGTCCATCGTGATGGAGTTGCCGGTAAGAAAATTTACTTTCCTCAACGTCTCGATAAGCAATAATAAACAAGTGATTTTAATGTTTAAAAAAAAGCATCTATGAATTTAGATATACCATCAATACAGGGTATAACAACAGGTGGGCAATTTTGAATACAATAAAATGACATTTTGTTTTCTGAAAAATGAATGCAGCATGCTCGGTCTATTTTTCTTTTTGATAAGCAATGTTTTTGTGATAGAATTTTGTTTGCATCCATTTTTACTATTATTTTTCTATTTCTTAATTTTAATCATCTCTTTTTAATTAATATTAGGTCAACAGGCTCGTGATGCTTTACTACTTATCATGCAATTGTCGAATCGAAATGAACAAATTGCACGACATATAGTAGAACATACAAATTTTTGTCCGGTAAATATTTTTTTAAAGATCAAAGTTTATTATTGGCAGATGAAACAACTCTCTGTGCATACTTCTGATCAATCTATTTCGTGATATATCTTCTTAGTTAATCCTTAAGAAATGCAACCAATATACGAGAACAAAACGTTATGATAGATTTTCTTATAATATTGTCCCTAGGGGTTCTAAATTCTGTGCATGTATACTGCAATACGTTTTCAAGATAATATTTCTCTAAGTAATTATTTGTTTATAGATTCTAGCAACTGGTTTAAGTGCCCTTTATTCTGATTTACCACATCATTTATCAACAAATAATGACGAATGGTTTATATTAACAAAAAAGGAATGGTCAGAAAGTCCAGCGTTAGTACAATTTATGAATTCTCTACAATTTTCTAATGATGTTATTCAAGTAAATTATTTTTATTAGAAAACAAAATAACTTCAAACTATATAATTCATGTTTTCTTAGATTGCTCATCCTACAATCGGTCACCATTTAATACAATATATTTACCATGGATTTCTTGTGCCAGTTCTTGGTCCAAGTATTCATCAGGTATGTTGCAAAACGAGAACCTCCAATGATAGCATGTAAATTGCTTAAACAATTTCACGAAGATAAAATTAACGCAAAATGTGTGCTTGCGTGTGAGCGAATTTCTTCTTTCATAGGATCTTCATGAAATGCCACTGAAATTTTCTGATTTACAACATTTTTCGGTAAAAATATGAGATATTTAGAAAATTACCTTTTATTTTAATTTTTATTATTTTATTTGCTGCTTCACATTTTTTATTTTTGCACGTTTTGTTATATTGCATGAATTTTTTTTCAGACAAAGCATGATCTACTTATTTTTAGTTTATTCTTTTGTTAGAATCTTTTTCTAAATTGCTATTCCTTTCATTCTACAGAATACAATGGATGAAGTAATTGCAGCAACAGCTTATTTGGATTTATTTTTACGTACTATTCATGAGCCAGCCTTATTAAAAGTGTTTTTGAAATTTATACTCTGCGCAAGAATCGATGAGATGAGTTTATTGGATACATTGATACAGCGAATTAATTTCAATACGAGAGTATGAAGAGAAAAAAATTGTTTTTTTTTGTTTCAATTAAATTAATTTTATCTTGTATTAGCTTGGCCTAGTATCCTTGGGTTTATTCTATACATTAGTTAATCTCAACTGTGAAGATATTATGTATCGTCTCATATTTATGTATGAAAAAAATATCGGATGAAAACTTTTCTATAATATTTCTTATGATAATTTTAGGTATTTAATTCCTTGCCGGCATGTAATGTGTAGTCAACGACGACATATAACTGATGTAGAGATTTATGGAAAAAATGCTGAAAGATTTCTTTCATTGCGACCTTCATTTTCAAGTAAAAATAGGTAATATCCATGGTTAAGAGATTGTGTTAATTCTTGAATCGTCTAGTTTGAATTAAAAGATAGATTATTCAATCATATTTTAAAATCTTCTGCACATTGATTTACAAACGAGAGAAGCCTATAAATATAAAACTATCCAGTGGAAACAATTTGTAGGAAATTATTGTCTGAGAACAAAAAATGATTTTTTCATCTGCCATGTACAAAATCAAAAGCATGCGTTATGATTCTTATTTCTATTTTTTCTAGCAATCAAAATTCACAATCGAAACAAGTCCATGCGAACTTTCATCAAAATGGTGAATCTTCTAATGATAGTGATCGATATGAATTTTCATTTAGTGCTTATCTTGAAGTAAGATTGTCGCTGAAAAAGGTTTTTTCTTCTTCTAATTTCTTTTTATTTTTCAGGATGCGCATTTTAGTATTGTTCGTTGTCGCGTTGCTTGTCGTTGTTGGACATCTCCATATGATGGTGAAAATCCATCACCGGATACAATCATTGGAGATTCTGATCTGATTTCATTATCAAGTAGTCTTTCATCGTTACACATTGATAATAATCATAATTCAAAAAAATCTGATTTAAATCAAAATAATGATTCAAATCAAAAACAGACAAGTAAAAATGTCGGTGCATCAAATGATTCTGGTATTCATGAAGATGGTCTTGATACAAATTCACAAACAGAAATCCCTTCAATAATAACAAAATCAACAACAGACGAGTTTCAATTGCCGTCGTGGCTTGCTAATGGTGAACCTATACCTGATGAACTTCTTGCTAAACGTTCATTAAACATTAATTCAACGTATCAAAATACAGACGACAATGATGATGATATTGATCCTTATCAAGCATCGTCATTTTATGGCTTTTCATTTATTGAACTATCTGGTAGTAGTGAAGATTCATGGTCCGTACATTCATCGAACACAGTATCAGTTGTAAATACAAATATTGGTGATGAAATCAAAACATGCGTCGAAACATTAAATACATGTTTAAATCAATTTCGTGGAATGAATGATCGATTGAATAATAATGATGATGTACAAGTTGAAATTGATGAAGATGTTACTATTGTTTTGAATGAATTAATCGATCAGATTGAAAATGTTTCTGATAAAAGAGAAAGTCAATGTTCAAATGATTTATCAACTATATATTCGATATCGTTAGATTATAATCTATTGAATGAATTATTTACAAAGAAATTAACATTTAATGAATATTTAAATTTACTTGATCATCTTATTGATAACAAGATATTAAATTTGCCATCAAAATCAGGTGAAGAATTATCAAATGATATTCTTCATCTTGCTGATGAAATTGAACATTATAAAACGATGATTAAAACAGATAATAACAATGAGATCGATCAAAATTTCTTAAGTGTTAATTTAGATAATCAATATCAACAACAATGGTTATCAAATACACAATCAAATTATTCTGTTACATCATTTTTACAACAGTCAACATCAATGGATATGTCTCTATTAGTTACAAATGATTTTTCAAGTCAAATACAATCAACTTTGATTACATCAACCGTCCAACAACAAACAACAACACCCGCTGGTAAAAGGGCTGATGTTGGTACGTTAATTACGTATTATTATTTCCTAGAAAGTTACAAAAAAAAACGATTTACCATACAGTGTATGATAATAGATGCAGTTGTCAAAGTGAAACTTTGAGAAAATTGAGATGAGTAATTCACGGTGAAGTGCCAGGTCTTTCTTTAGATGTTGTATATCGTGAATTATTCAGTATGCTATCGTGCTGTTAATTCGAAACAATCATGTGTTAGTACCTTTATCATTCAAAGTTATTTCATGGCTGATACTGCCCATGTTGAAACAGAAATCGTGAGCCATAGTAGCTCGACATGAATCATGATTTTTTAATCCCTGCAATCTCTTGTATAATCAAAATAAAATAGAGCATAGCAGAGAACTGATGGTATTCTACTATGGCCAGCTTAGAATTACATTGCTTTGTGTTGCGTGGAGAAAGTTTAGTATATATTTTTTTTTTCTTTCTCATCCATAATAACAAAAGTGTTCGATAGCACTTAATTATCAGAATCGTTTTGTGGAAAATATAGAGATTTTCAAATGAATATAATACTGTTTATGTGAAAGATGATACTGTGTAACTGTTGAATTTTTATAAGAATGTCATATGATTCACACGAATTCTTCTTGAAAAACTACGTTACCTTTGAAAACTTTTAGGTCCATTTTTACGAACAATATTTTCCAAATTAGAAAATATGTTACAAAATTCGTTGTATGTTAATCTATTATTAACGGGTATTTTAGCACGATTAGCACATTATTCTCAACCATTATTACGCTCACTGTTACTCAATCATAGCCTAGTACTTGAAACAAATGTTAAATCACTTTTTCAAGTAAGAATTTTTTTAAAATTCTATTTGCATTTTCTTTATGTCTGAATTACAGATTCTTTCAAATCTCAAATCAAAACTCGAAACAATATCCCAAACATTTAATGATTTTAATAATCTAATTGAATTAGCACATGATACATTGTATCAAAGAGAAAACACTGCAAGAGTATGCACTTTTAGTTACTTATAAGTCTGTTAAATGGTTTGTTTTCTAAGGAATTTGATGAAACACAAAAACGAACATGTACACCGTCGCGAACACGATCAAAATCGACTGAACTAGATAAAGGTAAATAGATAAATATATTATCTATTTGTCGCTTTATTTCGATCTGAATATTTTTCACAGATGAAGAACGAGTTTTTTTCGAAACTCGACGAACACCTATAAAAGGTTTTTTTCTGCA